CCTACAGGCTACTTCGATAATGTTCTAAAATATATAAAGAGAACTTGTCAGAAACAAATGTTGTAACTATATCTAAAAATCAAATTATAGAAATTAAGATTTATATTTTCTACATACTACATTTAATCTGTAATTTGGATTTAGGATTTATACTTTAAACCTAAGATTTAAATTATTTAAGAAAATAATATAAATAAAAATTTACCCAACAAAAAAATATAAAAAAAATGAATACCAAGAGAAGATGAGTAAAAATACATTAAAGTGCATTTAGAATAATTTTTTTAGTAGGGTTCGGTTATTGAGAATCTAACCGGATCAACCCGAAAAATTTATTACCAAATTGATCCGTTAAGAAATCTTGAACGGTTTTGTTTCACAAAGTCGAATAAATTGAAATTGAATTAAACCAAACTGAATATTAAAAATCTTGAAAATTAAAAATTTCTCGATAAAATAAACATCTTTTTGAGAAATCGAATCAAAACCGAATATAATCAAATGGTATAATGTTTTTCTATAACAGACCGAACCGAATAAATATTAAAGCAAAACAGACGAAAGCGCATACGTACCAACTGATGGGCCCTTCCATGCATACTAAGGACGAAGCCCACCAGAACAGTTCGAACCCCAAATTCTGATGGTTTGGGTTTTATTTTATTTTACAGTTGAATTGAATAAATTATTTTATATAATTATGGAGACCAAAAAAATTGTTTTAGGCACGTAAATCATGCGAAATTACGCACGCAGGGATAAGAAAATACAGTCCAAATATATATATATATATATATATATAAACTCATTTGTAATCCTTTCTCTGTTTAATAAAATATACATTTATACGTAATACAATATTCGTATTTGTATTTTAATAATATTTCGTTCTTTTCAACAGTAATTGCAATTAAGCGACTTAATTGTTTAACTAATTTTTTTTAAATGGATTAAATCCAACCGCTTCGAGCGTGACATTCAAAAGTCTTCGACAAGGCTTCATTCTTCTCTTTCTTTCCAACGTCAATGGCCAATCCCGACAAGATACACCGAGAGCGAATCGGGTCTTCGCCATCGTGTTTTCTCGGCTGGTTTGGGTTTGTCGACAGTTGAAACCGATTGTGTCGCCGGACGGCGGCGAGAAGAAGAGGAGGAAGAAGAAAAACCGGTGGTTTTCGTGGTCCAAGTTCCGGTTAAAGAACGGCAAACTCAAACCGTCCCCGATCGACGAGGTCGAGAAATCGAACGAATCTGATAAGCGGAAAACGGTTCCGGTGATAAGTCGTTTGACTGATCGGAATCCCGGCCGGTGATGACGCGGCTGCAAAACTGGAAACCCAAGAGGTACTTCATTTTTTTCCAGACAATAATTTAAAATAAATCTTACTGAAAAAATAATTAAAATTAAATCGCGATTTTGTTTTTTGGTTTTGGGTAAATGTTTTTTTTTCCGATTTGTTCAGACAAACACAAACAAGGGACGCATCGTCATCTCCGACAGATCGGAACACGTGGATCCGTTGAGTCCCTCCCAAAGCGACACGTGTCAAAAGCGGATATCCACATCTGTCTCGGAGAAACCCGACCCGAGAAAATCGGGAGAATTAGGGACAATCTCGAACCGGGTCAGAAAATTCGACCCGGTTATCGGGGTATCAATCATAATGGTGACGTTGGCGATTATGTTGATCTGCGGTCGGATGTGTGCAATCCTTTGTGCGTCCGCTTTTGGTTTTTTTCTCCCACGCCTCCAAGACGCCGCCGCGAAACGCAAACGCAAACGCAGCGGTGGGGCTGAGAGCGGCAAGAGAAAAGTCGTGTTGGAAGGTTTTCTTGGACGGAATAATCGCGTTTCGCTTTGACGACGTGTCCTCTCTTCTTTCTTTCCTTTGTTTGGTTGTTTGGCTTTTGACAAAACGGCGTTTCGTCAAAAAAAAAAATGTAGTTGGACTATATATACACATATATATTTGTTTGTTTGGTTGTATACATATATATTTTCCAACAATTGTGGATGAAAATTATGGAGTATCGTTCTTCTGTTATGTTTAATCTTACAACTGAACCGAATGTAATATGGTTCGGTTTCAGATTTTGGTTATTTCGATTAGAGATGATTTATCGGGTTTTGGTTATATTCGAATTTATTTATTTTAGTTTTAAAAAAAATATAATTATTCAATTTTTATATTGATTTTAGTTTAATTATATTCAATTTAGATTTTTATTGGTAAAAATATGTATTTTTTCTCTAGGTTTGAATTTTTGGAGTTATAATTTGGTTCGATTATTATTGAATTCGGATAGATTTGAATATTAGATTATTAACTAAAGGTACAATTTAATCTAAACCGATGAAAATTGAATCTTAAACCGATCCTCAGACCGGTTGATGGGCTGCTCGCCCAGCCCGAGGACCAAAAGCCCAAGACCCATCTGATACTCGTCTCTGTATTTTTTGCGTTCGTCCCTTCTCCGAGCCCTAGAATTGCTACGATGAGGGGTCTGATCTCCGGCGCGAGGAGGCTATGGACTCCGTCGTTGATGGCGGCGAAGGCGAACGCCACGGCGCGAAGAAGCTACAGTCTGATTCCGATGGTGATAGAGCACTCTTCGCGAGGCGAGAGAGCATACGATATCTTCTCTCGGCTGCTCAAGGAGCGTATAATCTGCATCAATGGCCCCATCAATGAAGACACGTCTCACGTCGTCGTTGCTCAGCTTCTCTTCCTGGAGTCCGAGAACCCTTCTAAGCCTATCTATATGTACCTCAATTCGCCCGGTGGCCATGTCACTGCAGGTAAGCTTTCCCTTTTTGTATCACTTTTTTTTCAAATGCATTTCGGGGTTTTAGCGGATTTTGGTTGTTTTATTTTGAAATGTTGCCATGGGTTTCCTTAGGGATTGTTACCTCAGGTTTGTCTGTTCTGGTGTCTGTTTTGGCATGTAATTTGGGTAGTTCTACTGGAGATTGAATGTAGAGCGCTGCAGGGTTTGTTTTCTTAGGGGGTGTCGTTGTTCTGGTGTTTGATTTGGCCTGTTAACTGTGAATCTTATCGTTTGTCCCTTTGTTGAATGTCTTGTCCATGTTTTTGGAGCTGATATCTTTCATGAGAGTTCATTAGAAATGCCTTGTGCTAATAATTGATAAAGGATACTTTGGATTCACCTAATTTGATGTAATTATAGTTTGTTTTTGTGAAATGTTCTCCGGGTTTTCTTCATTTATGGTAGTATGGACATGTCTGCACATGCTTCCGAGTTCCGAGTCTCTGGGTCGTGGCAAGCTCTGATTCTTTCCCCTAGAAAGTCGGTCTTGTTTCTCATAACCGATATGCTATAGCCTGGCTGAGATCATGCGTTTGGTGATCCATTTGCATCCCTGTCTTTGATGCAGGTCTTGCAATTTATGATACTATGCAGTACATTCAATCCCCGATCAACACCATTTGTTTAGGCCAGGCTGCATCCATGGCTTCTCTCCTCCTGGCAGCAGGTGCCACGGGCCATAGACGGTCACTCCCCAATGCGAGCGTTATGATTCATCAGCCTTCGGGGGGATACAATGGGCAGGCTAAGGATATGATGATTCACACTAAGCAGATTGTTCGCGTTTGGGACACACTAAACGAATTGTATGCAAAGCACACGGGGCAATCCATAGAGGTGATTCAGAAGAACATGGATAGGGATTATTTCATGACGCCTGAAGAGGCGAAGGCTTTTGGAATAATCGATGAAGTGATCGATAAAAGACCAATGGAGTTGGTGAGGGACGCCGTCGGGAATGACGGCAAAGACAAAAGTTCAAGCTAGACAGGCAGATAGACATGGTAACCATAGTAATAAAGTTTCTTCATTGTTGAGTTAGATCTCTGCAAACATGCACTTTATGCTATTTTCTGAAACATATATATATATAAATCTTACTGAAAAAATAATTAAAATTAAATCGCGATTTTGTTTTTTGGTTTTGGGATAAGCTTTTTTTCACGCGTG